ACTCTTGAAGTTTTGAACAAATACAGAGATCTCTCTTATAGTTTCAATAATTACAGTAACTTCTCTTATTTTACCTGACAATATCAATATTCTCTCATTCTGTTAAATATGCACAAACGACGTCAACAACCTATACAAAATGACCATATTAACCTTACTTTTGCATGCAAAAAAAACAAAAATGTTCTTCGTTGGCAAATTCCCTAATCAGATAGCTATATTCATAATAGAAATCGAATTTGTGAGAGAGTGAAGAAAGAGAGAGAATGACGATCGATCAATGTGAAGAAACATAATTGAGAATACTCACCTAGCCATTTCAAAGTTTACCTCTTTACACTATTTTCATCTCACCATGGCCTCAAATAAGATAGCCTCTAAGATGATCACAAAAAGCACTCTTGTCAATCCCCTGATGGTGATAGCTCTTGCAAACATAGTAAAACACACTTTGCACTATCAAACCCACCAAATTCACAATCACCATAACTTTAACCAAAAATCCACTAACCACACCACAGCTCAAAAAACCCCATTATTCACCCCGCAAATCGCAAGCTACCTGAAAACAAGCACGACCGCCATTCGGGTCCCCTCTTTCAACAACTCATAGCTCTTTTCCATCGTCGCAAACCCAAAAATCGGTTCGAGCAGCAAAACCACACTAGCTAAATACCACAAAGCAATGATGTAAACATGAACAACAAGAAACAGACTGAAAATCACAATCATTAAAAAAAACAGCAAAATTGGATTTTGGTATCGACAACTATAACAAGGAGAAAGCCTACAAACACAATGTTGTAGATGATCATGATTAGAGAAACCCGTAAGTAGGTGATGAAGAGTCGCCGAAAAATGCAGGAAATAGCGGCAATGGTGGAGGAGAAAGAAACGGGCTTGGAGGTGTAGAGAGAGGCGACAATGAAGACTACGGTGATGGTGGAAAAGAAAGAGAAAGCGAAGAAAAAGATGAGGTAGAATAACTAGAAAATGAGGAGCTTGGTCCATTGGGAGGAGTGAGAACCAGTTGGGGAGTCGATTTGGGTGAGTTGAGTGTCAATGAAGAGAGAGTGAGCTAGGATTGCGAAGAAGAGAGGGAAAATTAGGTTAGGGTTAGGAGGTAGAAGGTTTTGGGGGATTGTTTAAGGCCAAGTTTGGGACGACTAAATAAGTGCACTTTTTGTCTTTTTTGACTAAAAAAGTGAAAGGAAAAAGATAGTTGTTTGGGATAAATTTTTGACTTTTTATGAAAATGTGTGTAATATAATATTAGTAGACATGATAAAATGTCTGTATTGCCCTTCTCACCTGACACACCAGGTCAGGCATGACAATTGCACTCCACTCCACTGTGCAACGTAAACATTTTCAAACTTTGTTTCCCAATTTCGTAAACCTGTGCAACGGTCAAACATGTGTTCCTTTTTTTTTATTCATTATTTTCATTCTTTTCTTCCTTTTATCATTGTTTTCCTAAACCAATTTGTTTTTTTATTTTTCTTATAACATTTTTGTTTTTATTATTTTCCATTTTGAAAGAACTTATTTTTTTAATTTTGTTCCTTTTACCATTATTATTTATTTTATTCCTTTCCTTTTTTATTATTATTTTTTCAACAATGATTTATCCCACTAAAAACATCACCACTAATAGCACTAATGCATTAAAAAAGTTAAAAAAAAAAAAATACAACTCCAAGACCAAAACATCACATCATTAATGGCGGGACCCACTGCCACCTAATTAGTGGGAGCACTAATTAGTGCTCCCAAGCATTTTTCTTATTTTTTTTGATTTGCATTCTTTTCCTTTTAACATAATTTCTTTTGCTTTCTGTAGTCAGTACTTGGCCTTTTAACATTTTTTTTTTCTTTTCGTTTGTTTATTCAATTTTTTTTTTCATTCTTTTCGTTATAATTTTTGTTTTCTTTCTGTTCCTTTGTTAGTCAATATTTCTTTTTTTATTGTTTTTCTTTTTATTTCTTTTCCTACTAACAATTTTTTTTTATTGTTTTCCTTTTAACAATATTCATTTGGGTTTATTGTTTTCCTTTTTTTTATCATTTTTAATTTGGATACAAAACTTTATCAACTTCCTACTGAGAAGTATTACAAATTCAGAAAAGCAAAACAAATTAACAATAAGTGATAATATAGATTTGAATATGAGTTACACACATTATAAATTTAACCAACATTAATGTCCATTCAATTATTCGTGTTGCGCTGCTGGGCTAGTTGGTACGTAATGTTCGCTCGCACAACTGTCATTGCGGGGTCGGAGTCCCCTTCCTCAATCACATCGGCAACCCGTGTGTATTCGTCGTGGTCGGGCATTTCAGGGGCCACGTATTCGGTGCTATTTGCGATAGGAACTGTGACCTCATCAATGGCACTGTTTCGGCGTATGAAGTTATGTAACGCCATCGACGCACATACGAATATCACTTGATTAGAGAAACTCAACTTCTGAATATTCCGCAATGCCCCCCACCTCGACTTCCACGCACCGAATGTCCGCTCGATACAACTACGCAATGACGAATGTACCTTATTGAATAGTTCGAACTCATTTTGTGGTCTTCGATTTCGATGGACATTTTGGTGATACCTATACCCCTTGTATGGGGCTAGGTACCCTGTCTTGTTGCTGTAGCCACTATCCACCAAATAGTATTTTCCTGCAACGAACATTTTTTTAAAAACATGTTATTTGAGAAAAATAATTTGCGTCATTTTTTTTAAAAATAGAGCTATGTTTAGGTTGTGAAGAACCTAAATTTACACACAAAAAAAAAAAACAGATAGTAGTTCGATTAAGCTCCCAACATATTTTCAAGAACCTAAATTTGTGATATACATCTAAAATTCACTACAGTTTTAGATTCATACAATCAATACCATTAATGCTAAATTGAAAAGAGATATCAGTCACAACAATAATTTAGGTATTGTTAATAGGTGCATAGATAATTAAAGAATAGGTGCATTGATACCAGCAAATTCATATAGGTCTTTTTTTTTTTAATACATATAATCTTCTTCTCCCATGTGCTTCCTTCTTGACTAGTTTTCATCACTGCATTTTATCCAAATTTGGGCCTTGTGTGTGTGTTCCTAGTTTTCAAGGATTATTATGTTGAATTGGTCCTCATACTGCAAGTTGCTTCGTAGTCATACATATAGTGCCATGGCATCCATCTGTAGGCACAGAATCAATCCCTGGTAAATTACATGGCAATTCAGACAGAGATTACACCTGAAATGCGAGGCATATTGATCAACTGGCTAATTACGGTAGCAAGTACGAATGTGTACTATGTCTTATATTATTTTAAAATTAAACTACTTTGTTAAATAAAATATAATTTTACCAGGTGCGGGGTGCGGGAAGCGATGTTTAGGTTCGGTTGTCACGTAGTGCAACACCCTACTGTCATGCATGCTCCCGTCCCAACCGGCTAACACAAACGTGAAACACAAATCGAAGTCACATACGGCCAGTATGTTCTATGTTGGGACGCCTTTCCGACCGTAATACGAAGTGGCGTACTCTTCCGAGACACGAGCCATCACGTGCGTGCCGTCTAGTGCACCGATGCAGTCCTACACAATGCACCATTACGCAGAAAGTATAAATAAAAATTCATGGTATATGTCGTCACTGTGATATTTAAAATTTTGTGAAACAGTGTCACCTTGAATGGCCGGTATCGCCGTTGCGATTGTAAATGCGGGTGGCCCCCCTGTTGCACTTGCTCAGGCGTAAGACTCCTACTATGAACCGCTGTGAACGGTATCATAACTTTCAAAAATATATTAGATTTACGTGACAATGTCTCCTTCGAGTGTTGGAACCGTTCTTGCAAATCTTTCAACTTCATTCCCTGCAATGCACAAATGAAAATGGCTACCTTCTCTTCTAGCGGAACGCCATGCTCCCGCTGTGGCAGTGTCAATCCAAAACTATGAAGAGTCTCGCATAACATCAAGAACACTGGTTTGGACATACTGACAGCATCTTCAAACCGGCCTTGGTGCCCGTTAAACAACTCGTACATCCATAAACGTCCCGAAAGTATTGACGTATTTCGAGGTACTCTGTGATAATGGTTGTAGTAATATGTAGCTGCACTGTTATATGCCTCTAGCAAGTTGTGATCAGTTTCGACCACCATTTCCCGTGCAATTTCATTGACAGCTTCCCGGGATGCATTTCTGGGCACAGTGTAACTACGACCTGCGTCGTCTGCCATTTTGGAAACCTATAACGCAAAATATAAAGAGCCAAGTAGGTTTATCAAAATATACAAGGTTGCCTATCAACAAAAGTATAATGACTTTGGACAATAAAAGAAGCAAATTGGGCCGAGGGTAAAAAATGAGACAACCACACTGATTTGTGGTGTTATATAAAAAAATGAAAGATGAGATGAGCGAAGATTGTGCTCGGACCTTTGAAGCCAAAGTTTCAACTGATTTGTGGTGTATATACAGAAATGGAAGATGAGCATGTGATCTTATATACAGAAAGGGATTCTCTTCTTTGAAAGTGGGACCTTTGAAATTACGAAGGACAACAACTTCACGTGGTGTCCATGCAGATTAGACAACACACAAATTATTGGGGCATGCATAAAAAAGCCACTTATTGGGGCGTGCGTAAGAAAGCCACCAAATTATTGGTGTATACGAAAGTGTATATTGTGCCGACAAAACAGTTACATCAATGCACGAATTTAAAGCCAAATTATTGGTCTGTGGTATGCTCACAGTGTAGTGGGTCCTAGTATATGGACTCAAACCTTTGTTGACAATTTTTCCAATAGTGCTACAGCAAATTGACAACACTTCGAAAAATATAAAATATACATTGTATGGGCAAATGCTAATTTATGTTTTAATCACCTTGAACTCACAAAAAATTGAGAGAAAGAGAGAGAGATGAACTCACAAAAACACTTCTCAACTGCTAATGGAATTAAAGCAAGATCTTAATTGGACTGTTGCTTCATTGGACAGTTGCTTACTAAAAAATGCACGAAATTTAAAAGGCAGCAACAAGCACATAGTATAACATCAACATCATCACACAAATATTATATCAACTGATAATGTCCTAAAAATTCCACAAACAATGCAATATTTTTTGGGAGGGAAGGAAGGATAAAGAAGCCACACATAAACATTAACAAAGAGACAACTTATTTGCTGGACTGTCTCATAACCAGCCACCACCCATTCCGGAATTTGCTGCTGATGGGCCACCGATGCATTGCTCACGGGACTTCTTCGTTCGCAACCAAGCAATGACAGCCGCGTCTGTAGGAATCTCCATCATTAAGGCTTGATTTGCCGGGTTGTCAAGTACCGATTGAGCAAAAGGAACTAGCGGGTCTTGCGGATCGAGCCCTTCCAGCGAATACAACCTTCTGATACACTTCTGAATGAGGGACTGTGCCGAATCTGCGTACTCATGTGAGACGCGGATTTGTCGTTGTTGTAATTTCACGGAGGATGCAAGGTTTTCCATACTACTCGCCAACAGAGAAGCTCCCTCACTCTGCCCTTTTTTCCGCTGTGGGTGTGTTGGGCCTGGTGACTTGCGTTTGCTCCTGCCACTTGTTGGTGTGTCGTCAGCGTTAATTCCCGATGACGCAGCATGCACAGTTGCCGGCGTGGCATCCTCTTGCGCAACAGTGTCGTGCACAGTGTGTTCATGCTGCGCGGAAGGCTGGAAAGGGGGTAACCCGCTGCTGTCCTCGCAGTCTTCTTCAAGCGCTGCCGAAGTACCGTCATCGGTTGCCACAGGTTCGAACGCTGCACCTGGTGTCCATGCATATTTTCCGGTTGCCGTAGCGCCTTCGTACACCCTTCGCATGAGGTCCATGTGCTCCAACGGTTTTGTTTTGAACTTGATCGCATTCTTGTCAACCTGGGGAAAACACAAAACAAAATATCCATCAATAATAATTTGTGGCAAGTGATGGTCATTTTACCGGCAGTACAAACGTTAGAAATCATAGTGAAAAGGAAACTAATGACAATGAGATCTGAAAGACAATCAAGGTGACAATCCTAATTAATATAATTATATTCTTAAGTACACAAATAGCAGCAGAAATTGATCCTATTCGGCAGCATGCATGCTTCACCAATTACTACTAGTTGTCATAATGGCTGGATACATATCCACTTATGCTCCAAGCCTGCTACGCAAAGTCAGGCCATTTGAGATGTAATACACGAAATTGTTGCAGCTGATTCTACAAACTGGCAGGTTTCCCAGTTGCAACAGTTTTAGGAACATTTCTTGCATCTGTGTAAGCAATGTGGACCATACCAACACTGCAAACTAAAGCCAAGTTTGGCTTTCCTAAAGCTTTTCAAAGTCTCATAAAATATGACACTGTTTTGACAATATGATATAAAGCTCGACTATAGAAATTAAAGGTCTGGTTAAAGGGTTGGGTTATCACATCCATTTTCACATCCATTTTCAAGTAAGGGTTGTGATATTCTTGTCAACCGTACTGTTAGCCTTCAACTCAATATGAGCGAACATTGAAGTGTTATATGCGGTAACGCAAATATCCATCAATAATAACTCAACTCAAATGAATGGAGAATTATAAAGTTCCTTACCATACAAATTTCATACATGAGATTTTTTAAATTCTTTTCTTCTTCTTCTCCTTTTTATTTTATTTTTTTTAAAAAGAGATCCCAACATGAATCCACAATTTTGGGGGCATAATGAGAGTTTTAAACAAAGCATAATTTTGAATTATAATGAAATTGCCATGGGTCATTTACCAAAGTCAGTACTTGACTCAAACACAATTCGAATAATTTTGAATTTGCCCCAAATAAGAAATGGATAAATCATTTGGTTCAAGAACAATTTTAAATGACTAAGGTTCGGTTTGATCTACAGAGAAAGATAAATCAAGTATTAAAAAAAAGAAAGTTCAAAGAATGCCAAAAATGCAACACTGAGTCATGTGATCAAGAAAACAACGTAAATTTACAAAACAAATAACGTATTTCAAGTAATGCTTCAAAATACAACAATCCTTATAAAATGTTGAAGACAAAGAGGCAAAATTATCCCACAACATCAGCTGGAAGATGGCTTTTCAAAGTCAAAGAAAGAACCCAAAAATAATAATAACAATTAAAAAAATGTTGAATGAATGCCCCAAATTCATAATTTGTGACTTTGCTGCCAAGGAAAAAAATTAAAGCTACAATACCCATTTCTCATTATCAAATCAGCAATAATTATTAACCCTCCAGTACCGAATTATGCAGTTTTGACTTTAAAAAAAAAAATCAACTTGACAATGATCAGCAAACGTCAACAACAAAAACCTAATGTATGCAAAGACAATGACCTAATTCCAAAAGACAACCCAAACAAGCAAATACCAAAGCAAAAAAAGTCCTGAAAACCATTAACCCCACCAAAAAGTGGCAATGCATCAGCAACCCCATTTCGTCCCCCCTCCTTGCTTTAAATTAATAATTACATACGTGGTCAAATAACTAGCACCGACAACATAATTCCAATATGATCATAATATTCCCCCTTCCATTCATTATTCAACCACAAGAAGAACTTTATCTGACATAACTTTGATCGTTAAAGTTGTAATAATAACAGTTAAGTATCCATGTAAATGACGTAAGTAAAACTCAATGGAAATGTTACCTTTTCGTAATGCGCCCACCAGTCGTCAGATGCTTGTATCAAACCCGTGGATTCATTGTAACTGATGCCGGTTGGCCCATGCCTGCTGTCCATCAGTTTTGACCACGACTGCCAATCCTTTTTCAGCGACGCGTACTTGTTCTGCAGTTGCTTGACGTCATGCAGCTTATTTGTACGGTCCACAAAGCCCTTGCTTACAGCTCTATAGCCATGCATTGTCATTGTATGGAAGCTCCCCTTGAAACCGACGTCCAACTCTTTGATAACAAGTTCCAAAAAAATCCGCACTGTGTCGGAGTCCCAAGCTGCTTTATGCACATTTGCGGACTGCTGCTGCGTCTGTTTAGTACTGCGCTTGCGTAAAGATTTGGAAGGCGTCGACTGCGTTTGGGACTGCTCCATTTGCGTACTACAATGCAACAACAATTATGGTATACGTGAAAAATCGAAAAGCTTGAAACTCATACTAGGAATAAAAAAAAAAACATATAAAGATTTGTGAAACAGAGCTAAATTAGCCAAAAGGGACTGCAGATTATAGTGTAATAGGTTAAAGTACTATTAATTTGAGTTTTATAGTTCAAACATCAATTTTTGTTAATCTTTTGTTAATGAAAATGAACTGATAGTTTAAATTAAAAACAAATCAACAAAATCCTGCATATTTTTACCCATTAAACTAAGATAAAAACAATGCATATTATAACTTCAATTTTAGAACAATATGGTTCATAGAATAGCTCATCAATTAGTGTATTTACAAGTAGTGTGCATTAACTAAAAGATTCATTCTGATAAGAACAAACAATCGGGGAATCACTATCACAAAGCCAATCACAAAGCCATATATATTGAGAGTACTAAGGTTGACAGTATTTTGTTGGAATGGTGATGATGGGTTGTGATAATTTGGTTGGGTATATATATACTGTGAATCTGAAGAGCTAAACTCAGAAAAATAAGATGGAGTTGATGAGATGGAGTAGGTACTTGTGATTTCACACTTCTGGGTGTGTTTGTTATAACCTGCTGACACAAGTTTATAAAGCCAAACAATTTTAAAAAATCCCCCCCTTTTTGTCACAATATATTGAGCGTCAAAACCAGAAGTCCAATGCTGGGCTCGACCTATTCCACTTACGCCACTTTTGTTTGGGTTTCAGCCGATATGGCTTTGTGATTGGATTAATCCAACAAAATACATAATTGCACATTACACTTAAAAAATTGGAGACTGGACAAATAGTCCACTTGGACATGGCATCAGATGAAGCATTTGAAAAT